TTATTATCAGTAGAAGTATGATTACAAAATAGGTATACTGAACTCAGGCTAGAGTCTAGGGGGAGGGGATGTCTGTCAGCAGRATAACTTTTGCKTATAAATGGCGATRTCCTAAAACTTTTGATATAATATGCTGAAAACTAATAAATGATTATTTAATGCCTGCACTGACTTTGTGTCTTGTTACATGGTTTGTTGAATGATAGAATCTTTGCTTTATCGATCGGTCACACTGCCAGGGAAAGAATGATTTAGGCTGACACAGGCTTAAATATCTTTTGCAAATGTGTGGGGTCTGGGTTCTACTTATCCTCGGGAACCCAGGGGTAAAATTCTGTCCCTCGTTTCTATAAAATGAAATATTAACATTGACCTGTATGATTGAAATGGAAACGCTGATTGAAACGCTGGGCAGTTAAAAAGAAAAACAGTTTTAAATATCAGATAACGAATGAAAGTGTTCCATTCCATTCCATTCCGTTCCATTCCATTCCATTCCATTCCATTCCATTCCATTCCATTCCATTCCATACTATGTTCTTGTCAAGATGGCAAGAAAACTGCTAGACTCATCTGTAGGCCTCCATTCGAATTCATCAATCAGTTTTAAATGTGTCAATGAACAAAAAAGAGAGTGTATATAGAGGATCAAAGGAAAAACTTCTTGGTATGATTTTAGTGCATCACTGACGTCAATAATGTCAAGATGCCAAGTAAATTGCATCTCGCTCATTTGCATTCATCCATAACATATATCTGCTATTATTAAAATAGATATATAGAAAACGAAAAGTAAGAAAAAGATAATCAATAGATACAACTAGAGATTTATGGAATAAGGGTAATGGGAAAAGGCAAGCATGATGATGAGGCGCAAACGAACGGACACAAGGTCCTGGCAAGGTTTTAACCTACAGATAAATTAAATATAATTAAATCAAAATTAGAAAAGAAGAAGAAAAAAAATGACAAGAGCTAATAGCAAAAACTATGGTTAACAGACCTGCGTCAACGCAGTGAGGATAAAGGTTTATATATGCCTGAATTCTATTGGCATCGAAGGCAGGGTCTAACATATCAAAAAAATGCACTGAGATAAAGCACTGAGCTGGTTTTTGAATGACTAAGACAGGTTATATTTCAGAGAAAAAGACTAGATTTACATGGTTTTAGTGATACAATTTAACGCCCCGCGAACCGTTCGCTTGGTTGTTATAAATACTATTAGTTTCTTACAAAAAAAGGACATTAATCTTTCATATTTACACTGCCTTAACCCAGAGTAGTATCCAGGGCTATCCCAAGCGCCTTTGCGTGCTTGTTATTGTTTTCTTTGGTTTCAACCCGGTTTATGTGCATCCTTTTTTGGAATTAATCTTCTAGTACTACTAATAATATCAATACTAAGGTATTGCTTTAGCATTTGAATGACGACATGTTCGACTAATTAGTCAAATAAAAGTAGCCAGTTGTAGGATCTGTACTGAACCTGAAACTTACTCCAAAGTATACCAGTATTTGGACGAGTGTCTCTAAATTTCTTGAAACGATGTAGAAAACAGATATCGCTAAAAGGCAGACATACGCTTTTCTTAAGCACAATTGTTGACATTTTCAATTTCAAAAATATCAATTTAAAGCGGTTTCGGGAAAAAGTCATGTCTCACTCGCAATGCATGATGGGATAACCTTGAAACGACACGACGTACGGCACGGTCACCCACAACACTGTTTACAAGATTTGGATGGGGTTGATTGAGATGCAATCGCATAAACCTCTTTCTTTCTCCTAATCTTCTTTTTTGTTTCAGAATTATGAATATTTTAAGAGGGTAAATGAAATCCACAGTCGCAATATTGGAAGACTGATCATGATTATATGTGGAGATGAGAGATATCATCGCTACCATGACGGGGAGGATCGAGAAAACAACTTTAAAATGTTTGCATTTGCCCACTCCTTCATACGAAGAACAGCAGCAATTAAAGAATTAACACAAAGGTAAAAATTAGTAAGCTAACTACAAAAATTACTATATCTGTTTTTGTAGACTTGTGAACACTTTTGCAATTTCACGTTGTGACCATATGTTTCCATTTTTGTCATACCAACTACACAACTTATCTTTTCAGGTTTTACATGCGTTTCTTTTCATCATCATTTATTCTTTTCATTTCTTATTTTAATTTTTTACTTCGGATCATATCTGACCTCACCCGGTTTATTTCTTTTATTATGTGGCTATACAGCAGTAGCTACATGTAGTCATAGACTGCTGGTACTTTTTCGTTCTGGTAACTATCACAGTCGCGAAGTATTCTGGGTATTGGGAAGTAGAGCCTGGAATCTTGAAGTCACAATCTTACGCGAGCGGTTCTATTCGCTGGCCGTCGAATTTTACTGTAAATGTATTTTCTTGATAATTTTTCAATATGAAATGAACATGTAAATGTAAACTCTGTTTTCAATGGCATTGAAAAACAGAAAATCATAGCATAAAATCTCGGTCATTCTGTAACATTTCGATAAAAATCGTTCAAAATTTAAATTAATTCGGCAAGAATTTACTGGAAAAATAATAAAAATAATCGCTTATTTCGTTGTAAAATTTTACTGCGCATGCAACCGACTAAAAGCATGGAACTAACAAATATTTACGCATTTTTCTTTCGGAAACTAAATAAGAAACATGTTCAAAACCAATTTTCACTTTTTTCTATTTTTTTAGTATAGAAATTGCGATTTTTATCTGACTCGCCACAGTCTTCACTCGGAAAAGTGTCAGTTTTCGACTATTTTGAGAGGTTTTTTCAAGATAAATCAAGAACGAGAATGGTGACCCCCATTTTTTATTTCAGATTTTTGATAAATGCAACGCTCGTCATTATATATCAAAACATGAAGGAAAGATTATTGAATAGATTTTGAAATATTTTGATTGAAATAGTTAACATGTGCAGTTTTTGGACGTTCTTAGAGGCGCACATACCTGCATTTTTCACTAATAGTTCAAGAATCATCATCATCCAATGACTTTGATGGATTTAATAGTATAGATTTTCTAGTAAACTTCGAGTTATAAGTAGGTTTTGTTATGTGAAAGCACTTTTAATAAAGGTTCTTGATTACAGCTTCCGGTTGCTACCGCATTTAACTATAAAACCCATAAATTGACATATTTGGAGAGCATCTAGCGAAAAAACGAGAATGGTGACCCCATCTTTTTACTGCAGTTTTTAAATGTCCATAACATAATTAATGCCCAAAAAGTTTTCATGACAAAGTTATTGGCTAAATTTCTTTTCAATTTCTTTCAAATATTACCTTAAAAGAGTCCACATTGACGTCATCCCATTGGCAACCTAAACATTGTTCTATACGATCGCAGTACCAGAGTATTGATGGTTTTCACGGCGGCCAATTGTCAATGAATTCTTTTGTTATATCCTCCAACATGGCCGCCGTGTCTTTTGTTATTTAATTCTCTTGGGAATGGTTAAAAACCGTCAGTTATTGGGTTTCCAGGTTTTTTTTGGAAGTCAGTCACTGATAATATCACTGATCATGATCAGCTTGTTGCCTGCACAGACTATTGTATTTTCTTCTGAGCTTCTATGTTCTAGTTTTTTGAACCCGCCTGACAATCATTCTGCAATTGCAGAGTAAAGACTGACCTGGATATAAAAGAATTATTTATCATTTGCATACATTTAATTATTCAAAGCTAGTAAGAATGAACTTGTAAACGAAGGTTCTGATCAAAGAAATTTTGATTTTCGCCAATTTCGAAAAAAAGAAGGAGTTTTACAGTTTACTCGAAATTTAATCTTTTTTTTCCAGGTTATTATATCATTCTTTTCTGAACTTTCTACTGTTTCAAACCCTGTAAAATGAAGCATTGGGTTCGATTCGATACACCGAGTGTTCTTATGTGTGTATGAGAATATATATGAATATATATATTGAATGATATATGAATATATATTTGTACTACTGATGTTTTAATGTGTCAAATTGAGTTGATCCTCGCAGTATATGAAGCAACTTATGCAGCTGCAAATTGAAAGACTCATAAAAAATCTTATTTCCAATCATTTACAAAAACTCGAAAGTGTTCAAGGTCCGAGTTTCCTCACTGTAAACAATCCCTTAGTGTGATACGAACGAAAAGAAATAGTTTCATAGTTATGTGTTTTCCTAACTAACAAATATTTGATGCATTGATTATTGTCTTTGACTGAAAACAAGAAAATGCTAGCAGTGTGTGTCAGTTGATTCACTGACGTGGACATCTGCGAAGCACAGTAATACAGTCTTCTTTGTTTTATATCATTATTATGTACGCCTGAATTGATGGAACGTTGTCATATAAAAATAACGAAATAACAAAATAGGAATTTGAAACTTTCTTTCGAGCAAAACAGAAGTGATTATTTCAGTGTTTTGAAGGTATAGACTGAAATTTTCATTAATATTTCCTCATATTGGTATATACTAAAACAGGTATTTTCATCCATCCATTGGGCTTTAAAATCAAAATGCGAAAAACTGAATATTTGAAATTAATTCCTATTTTTTATTTTTTATGTTTATGTGACCACGTTCTCGCAATTATGTTTATATCACTATTTATAAGGTAAATGAATTCTCATCTTAGGAAATAAAATCACTTTTCGCGAGCAGAATTATCGAGATAACTATCAGAATAAAACTGTATATGGTTAGGTTTTTTCCAGGAGTTTCAATTGTTTAAACTCGGCACCTTTAATGCATACAAATAGGTTGTCATGGATGGGGGGAAATTTCAAACTCGTTAAAATAATAACAGTGAGTTTTTAATAATTTATTAGGGAATTCGTTGGCTGAACTCATCAATTAAAGCTGTCACTGTAATAAAACACTCTAGTCTAAGAAAGTAGTCCATAGGGGGTTTTTCTTCTGTTGATTTTGTTTGACCACGGAACTAATATAAAACAATATAATCTGGACCGATCTTATCAGTCAAGCCAAACCGTCTGAAGCACGTCGAAAGCGGAACTTCTCTCCTTTATACGGTAAGTTAACTAAGGCAACGACTTTGTTACAATCTTGTCAACAGGTTATCCACTACTGACCACTACTTCCGCGGACCGTTCGAAATAGTGTGACTTTAACTAAATTGTCCAACAGAAGCTGGTCGTTGAAAATAAACAAGTTGGTCAACTTTGGCGTTGTTAACCCAGGTACTGAGTTTATTAGTTGTAAATTCGGTGGATGGAAGTGTGGACAAAAACTTGATCAAGTTGGGTGCTGAGAAAATGTTGTTTGTAAAAGCATTTCGAGCGCAGCAATTTTTTCTTTGATGCAAATACTAAATAGGAAAACAACTACTGGTTTTGTGAACTTTCATTACGAAGCATGGAATGACATATAAACAAGTTTTCTCAGCAAACCTGACAAAAATGTTGCGCGAAAGGTAAAAGGATAAAGTAACTTAGTTTTTATTTTGACCCTTATTTTTAAAAGTAACTTAAAAGTTACTTAAAAGTAACCAGCCAGTAGTTGATACAACCATCAATGATGTACTTTGCCCTTGGCCTGCTGATGTCTCCATTCATCCTGCATGACATCTGGTGCCTTGATTGTCCTTCAACGTACGCGCAAACGAACTTCATACTCAAGCACCATGTTCTGTCGTCGACAACGGTGAAGAACTACCAAGAATGCTACGGTAAATGTGCATCTACCACGGATTGCCATAGCATGAATTTCTATGACAGGAGCCAAAGATGCGAGTTGAACAAAGGCAGTCACTTGTCCAATCCTGTTGACTTGGTCTACAACGAAGAAGGCACTTATTCGGTGCATGATAGTCGGTCTGTGGCGACGTGCAGTGACAAATATTGTGGTACTGATACCATTTGTGTGGTAAATAATCAACTGAATAACAACTTTGAATGCAAAGGTGAGTGAATGGAATGCGAAGTCATCTTGCAATTGCATCGTATTGTCATATTATCAGAACGCTTGCCGAGCACATTATGGTATGTGTAGTAGAGCATCAAGATACAGCAACTATATGCATACTATGCTAGTACTGTTTTTCGATCGCCCGAATTTAAAAGCTTGAAACATAGATTAGTAAGGATTTATTATTTTCTGATATCATCCCCCCCCCCCCGGGTGATTGTCCCACGCTGAAATACAACAGAGAAAGCGGCATAATATTTTGCTGGTGGGAACATAATATTCTCAAACATACTAACGTGGGCCTTGGGTAATATTTAGATCTTATTAACCGAGCGGGAGGTCTGTACGGGATAATCTTGACGAGGTCGGAATGTACAGACCGAGGTCAAGATTATCCCGTACAGACCGACCAAGCTCGGTTGATAAGAGTTTTATTATATGACCACTTTTCATTGAAAAGAACAAAATGTTTTCGCCGTAAGATTAATACGCGATCGGACCGGTTAATACCGGAGAATCTAGACCAGTCCGCGATGCGATCTATCCAATCAGATTGCTCGATTTGCTAGTGTCCAGGCTCTAAGATTCACGGTCATAAAATAATTTGAAATATCAAATGGTACGATTTCTATACAGTTTTTACCCAATATTCCAAAGTGATTTACCAACTTCTTTAGATAAACTTAGGATCTTAAAACTGAGGAAATAAACTACTTTTACACAAAGTTACTAACATGTTTTGTATCTGCAAATTTTTTATACTTCAAAACTTCAATATTAATTTTTTTTGAAAATGCTCTCACAGATTCTAAATCTTGAGCAAATTACTTATCCTCCAATATCTCAAAAGCAATTTAAAAACTTAGGTCAAAAAATGGGGAAAAAAAGGCAATAAAGTAAACGCACCAACGCTTAACAGCGATCTTATATTGATTCAACTCATTCGAAAATTTCATCTTTCCCTTGAAACGACTAAAGTGTCTAAATCCGTGTAACAAATACTATTTTTTAGCACTAAATAGTGATAATTAAACAATAGAAAGCAAAGGATTCTGTATGAAATAGTACTAATTAATACTATTTAATGTTCACGGTTTTAGTGCGTGCACTCTAAAAACAATTTTTAGTATTTGATTGTTTGCGTCCGCGTATTTGCGATTGAAGTTTCATGGTAGCACGCGGATAAAACCCCATGGAGCCATCTTAATTATCAACTAGCATATAGTATTTATTGCATTAATTTCTCAGTTTCATATTAACTTTATATTTCTTATTATATAGAATTTCATTGTATTATAATCCTTGTAGACCCTTATATATTGATCAGTAATTTACGCAATTCAGCTAGTCGGGCTTTCATGTCAGCCATCTATCTATTTTTGTTTAAAATCTAACTTAGAATGTGCGTTGGCGTTTGGAATGGGAGTTAATTCGAGCAAGATTCCAAACTCAGCGATAACTGCGTCTTCTTCGCACGGTTCTGCACATGAGTCTTGGAGGGGGCGACTAAATAACTACCCCGTCACCAGACCTTATAGCGCTGGATGTTGGGCAGCAGGGGATAACACCGTAGGACAGTACTTACAGGTGGACTTGGGACACGTGGTATACGTCACCATGGTAGCAACACAAGGGAGGTCACATGATAGTCTTGAGCAGTATGTGACAAAATACAGTCTGGCTTACAAGAGCACCGACAGTTCGTTTGTTGATTACGAAATGGCAAACACTGTAAAGGTAAGTTACAACTATTGATGGTTTTCAACCATTCCCAAGAGAATGAAATAACAAAAGACACGGCGGCCATGTTGGAGGATATAACAAAATAATTCATTGACAATTCTTTTGTTAAGTTCCTCCAACATGGCCGCCGTGAAAACCATCAATACGATATTTCTAATATTCTACTCACTAGCAAACACTAAAACATTTAGACTGCACCAATTGATGATCTTAAGAGGCTTGCCATCGCTAATCAATACCGCAAGTAGAGCGGTGGCGCAGCTCAACTGGGTCGAACAGAAAGCATTTTAAGGCGCCTGTACGAGGAACTGGGAACGAGAATGTAGTAAAATAGGCAAAGTTTGTTCTTTCGCATTACGAAGTGACCAGCACGTAGGCCTTCGATTCGTTTAGACTCACTTGAAGGTTTCTTGTGGATCCGATTTTAGATATGAGGAAAAACTCTTGTCTTAACCGATTAACTTCGCTGTTAAAACTGAGAGGAAAATTAGATGTTAGAATTCCTTTATGAAGCACCTTAATTACATTTACTAATAACCGAAATCATTTTGGCTAGGTCTTTCAGGCGAACACTGACAAGACATCGATCGTAACCCACAGGCTTCCTGAGAAGATAAAAACCCGGTACATCAGATTTGTTGTACGAGAATGGTATGGCCATATTTCGATGAGAGCCGAGGTTTATGGATGCCAAATTCCTGCATAAATGAAAACCAAATTCGACCTCTGACCCCCAATCCTTGGGACAGGCCGGGGAATCAAGCTATACGCACTGTTCAAATCCCCGGTATGCCCCGGGGGTCGGGGAATGGAGGTTTCTATTGGCCAATGTATTCGCTGATCAGGCTTGTCTCGCTCAGAATTAGCACTGCACAAGTTTCACTGTCGGGCGACAGCACCTTCAGATGTTCATCGAATTTCTTAATTTATGTATATATATGTGTGTGTGTACACTTGATTGCAGAAAGGTTGTAGTATACATTTAGAAAACTCATTAATCATTCATGAAGAAAACACAATAGAAATCATGACCATGAAGGTGATTTTATATC